GGGGGGGGCGGGCAGAGTGCAGGTGGGCTTTTAGCATCTTTTGTGAGGACCTCTAGTGATGATTTATCCCTTAACTTTTTTGTGTGTGTGTGGGAATGCAGCTCTCCTTCATTTCTGATCAGCAGCTGTACTGGGTGTTGTGTTCTTGGTTGGCATGGATGCTTTCTTTCTGAACTTTGACTACATTGTCTTATTTCCACTTGGCCTGCAAACATTCTGCTGAGAAATCTGCTGACAGCCTTATGGCAGTTTCATCCTATTTTTCTCATGCTGCTTCTAAATTTCTCTCTTTGTCATTAACCATTGATAATTTTCAGACCAGGGTGCAATGCACCTGCTTGGCAAGTCCAAGGTCCTGAGTTTAATTCCCAGTACCGGAAAAAAAAAAAGAATGACAATTTGCTTATAGTGTGTCTCTGGGTAATCTTGTTTATATTTCTTAGAGGTCTCTGTATTTTGTGAATCCAGAAAGTTTTCACCTATTACATATTTAAATAAACTTTCTTTTTTCCCCTCTCTATCTTCTCCCTCTGAAGATCCCATAATGCATGTATTCTTTCCATATTCCTTAGGTCCTACCTGAGTCTTCACTTTTTTTTTCAGTTTTACAATTTGTTTTACTTTAACTAGTTCATTTCAACTGACCCATTTTTGAGTTTGCTGATTTTCTCTGTATAATTGAGGCAGCCATAGAATCTCTGTATTAATCAGCTTTCCCATTGCTGGAACCAGATATTTGATACCCATAATTTAAAGGAAGAGAGGTTTAATTTTGCTAATTGTTTCTGAGGGTTCAGACCAGTTGATTCCCAGGCAGAAACAGCAAGGCCCTGTTGGATCAAAGATGCTTACTTTGTGGCAGCCAGGAAACATAGCAGGGGAACAGTGCTGGAAAGGAATGGGCTAGGGACCATGTATACCACCCAAGGGCATACCTGCATGACCTACCCAGACACACCTGTGGGCATGCTTTACTAATCTACCAGGCAATTCTTAATCCAATGAAGTTGAAAAATCTGGATTAATGGTCACAATCCACCTCTTGTTAACGTCATGCCCAAACACATCTCCTTAAACCCTACACAATCTCTAAACAAAGACAATAGTACATTCATAATTCTAACATAAGACATCTATTCTGCATACAACTGGAAACACAATAATCCCCAAACTTTCAACAATTCCAGCATTTTTCTTTTCTTTTTTTTTGGTACTGTCGGTCAAACTTGGGACCTTGCACTTGCATGGCAGGCGCCAGAAGCACTGAGCTAAATCCCCAGCCCTTCCAGCATTTTTCAAAAGTCCAAGTCTCTCCTGAGACTCAAGTCAAACTCTTAGCTGTGCAAATCTGTAAAAAAAAAAAAGTAAGTTCATAATCCCAAGGTACAATGGCACAGGATAAACATTCCCATTCCCAAAGGGAGGAATAAGATGATAGAAAAGAACTGGACCAAAGCAAGACTGGTTACCAGGAGGACAAACATTAAAACCTGTAGCTCCATCTCTTGTACCCAGGGAAAGCTGTGAGAACTAAAGAGCCTGGGCAGCTCTGCCCTGTGACCTTCCCAGTTATAGCCCATCTGACTTTTCTCTTGGTCTGGCTCTGCCCATTTCTTGCAGCTTTCCATGCCAGAGATTCCACATCTCTGTCATCTCTAACTTCCAGGCCATCTTCTGAAATCTTGCTGGACATCTCCATGACACCACACCTCTTCCATTCTGCGTGCCTGAAAAACTAGCACCAAAATGATGATGCCAAGGTCTGCTGTGAGTTTGAGGAGTAGCCTAGACCTCTTGGAGCATGGCTGCAGCAACCTCTGAGTGCCAAGCCAAACTCCAAGAAACACTTACCTAGGCAGTCCTGAATAAGCTTGTATCCCTGGGGCTCTCTTCTCAAACCAAAGGTTTACACTTTTGCATCTTTGAGCCTGTGATGGGTGTGGTCTTGCTGATTCCTGAGAGCCTGTCAAACCATCTTTGCTATTGTCCTGATGCAAAGTACTTGGCTTCTTATTAATGCTTATCCTTTCAACAACCATGTTTTCTATGACCTCAACTTTGTGGGGTCTTCCTTTTTGGCAAAACTAGAAACTTTCTATTCCTTTTATATCTGCCATTTGTTCCTGATTCTCATTTTAGATGTGGCTAAAAGCAGCCAGCAATACCCATGCCACAGCCTGGATGTTGGGCTGCCTTGAAATTTTCTCCTTCAGATCAATTAGTCTATCTGTCATGTCATGCCAGGTTACTGCATGCATGCATGCATGCATGGAGACTAAGGTTGGCCAGCACTGAGACTCTGCCTGGGGAGGTGGAACTTTGGGCAAGTGGTAGCTTTTTGAGGCTTATTCTAAGAAAACTTCATAAATATTTGTTCCTTCCACACATCTCCTTGTCAAGCCAATATTCTTCTGGTGAGAGAACCAAATCATCAAATCTTTAAAGTGAGGGAGGCTCTGTGAAAGGCCTGAATGAGCGAATCTATACTATGAGCTGATGTGCTCACAGTCTTGGAAGGAGAGGGTGGTTTTCTTGATTTTTTGAGGTGTGCAATTCCTAGTGAGGGTGGCCTCATGGGCACCCAACAGTGGGCTTTCAGAAGCCTCTTCCTCCTCCCCACCATGCAGGGCATCCTTCATGTGCACATGTGCTGGGTAAATGTTCTGCGTGGGCCATTTTTCTAAGTTGATGGTTTCCTTTGCATCATGGTGACTGAAACTCCAGCCCTCAGGCTTTTCTGGGAAGTGTGCACTTGGCGATCAGCTGCCCGCAGAGCCGGGCGAAAGTGCCTGAGAGGCTCCACTTCTTGGCAGGTGGCTGATGATGGAGACTGAGCTTTCCGCAAAAGCATCTTCACCTCAGCCAGCCACTCTGCTGGTCTGTGCCACAACCCCGGTTCCATCCATCTGTCTTCAGGGACCTTGCCTCTCCTCCCCTAGCTGCCACTTCCCCTTCCCAGGGGACCATCTGGGCTGCTCTGGCTGTCAAGGGGATGACGCACCTGATCCAGAAGCATCCTTTGCCTAGCCACACTCAGACTTAAAAAGTGTCTAAGGAGAGAGAATTGCTAACTACCTTCATGCGATCATGGCATGTTTTATACATGTGTGCAGTGATCACATGGCACCCTTTAAATATGTACAATTAGAGTAATGATAAGTGATTAAAAAACCAAAAATAAGGTGCAGGTGAATGGTTGGGGAACCTTCTCTCACCAAAGTCCCTGAACCCCACCCCAGCCCTGGCCCAGCAGGTGCAGGTTGGAGATGGTCTGCATCGCCCTTGCAGGAGTCTGTGCTGGGCTCTCCATCGCAGCTCCTCCTCTCTCTCCTTGGCCCTACAGTTTCTCCACAGTGCCACAGACCTCTACATCCTTGGGTTTCTACATCCTTTTCAGTCACTTTGGGTCCCAAAGCTAACCTGGTTCAAGTTTTCCTTCTGAAGTAGGAATACCAAGAGGGAAGAGGAAGAAGGAGCCTGGGACAGGAGAGTGGTGTGCTGGGTGTCAGGCCCCAGCCCAACTGTCCCAAGGACTCTGTGACAGCACGTCTTTGTGCCGGGAAAAGGCCTTTGTTGTCTTTCAGTCCCAGCGCACAGTTGATTCTCAGTAGATGATTATTCAATAAATGCAGACATGGAGCAGCTGAGAGGGGAGACTGAAGGCTCTCTCTGCCCCTTAGCTTCTAGATAATGAACATGAGGCCCAGTTGGTTACCTGGTTGCATAGCAACTGGACAACAGCAACCAGGGTTTGGGACATTCTGTTCAGTCCTCTTTTCCCAGGCAGCCCCACGCCACTCCGAGTCCTGGATGGAGGGTGGTCACTCCCAGGGGTGGGTCAGGATGAGTCTGTGACCTGTGAGGCCTGTGCATCCCAGCCCTCCCAGCAAGCAGGGAGAGAGGAGTGAGGCCCAGCTGGCTGCAGGCAGTGAGGTGAAAGGGCTCGGAGTGCCCTCACGGGGCCCTGTGTGTCCACGTGCCTTGTAATACACATGGGAGCCCAGCCTTGGCATACATTTCTCACCTGTCCCGGGGGTGATGACACCTGGTGTGCAGGGCACCTGTGCGGGTCTTGGTCCTCAGCCTGGCACCTGGCCCAGAGTGAGCACTCGGTGGATAGGAGCTGAGTCTGCAGTCGTCTGTTATGGGACAGTGGGTCAGCTGATGCCAGGACAGGGAACAAGGGTCCCACGAGGGACAGGAGTGTGTGTGGGGGGGGTTGATCAAGGGCACTTGGAGGACACCGTGCGCAAATGCTGGCAGGTGGACCACATTACCTTTCCAGGTGCCTTCACCTCTCGGTTTAAGACAACCAGTAAAAATTCTAAAGAGAAAGAGATCACATGGCCCAGTGCTTTCAAACTTAAATTTTAATCAGATGCTGTAGCAAAACAAAAATGTGTTTAAAAGGTGTGATGTGCTCTTCAGTATTGGGGTATTCTGAGGGCTAAAGTGATTCCAGCTTCTGATTTTCCTTAAAAAATAACAGCCGAAGAACCCAAGAGGCCTCTGCTGCTCTTATACCCTCGCATTTTGCCATAGCTGAATTTTAAATCTCAGCGTCAGACTATCGATGTTCACTCAGAGGACGGTAGCAGAATCATTAACTCTTACTACAAAGCCAAGCGCAGAAGGTAATTGCATTTTGTAAGTAGCTTAGAATTGATTAAAAATGCATAAAGAAAAGCTGCAAAACTCTCCGCAGCCCAAGGTTGCTATCCCCTGGGGACCTCGCCCAGCTGCTCATCCCTGGGCAACCCCTTCTGTCTCCCCGCGGAGGGCGGGCGGAGCGCGGGGCTGGCTCCCAGGCCTTGAGGAGAGTGTGGCTGCGGGAAGAGGCTGCCCAGCTCTGCAAGGCCAGCCCCAGGAATTCATGTTCCTTTCTGGCAGCATCCAGGGGGCTCTTTGTGAACCGATGCAGGCTTCCCGGTCACAGTCTTCACACAGAGGCAACAATTTTGTGCAAGGCGGCATCTGGTGCCCGCCAGGGCTGGGAGGAGGGAGGTGCAGAGGAGCTGCCGGGGGAAGGCTCCGCCCAGGCTCAGACCCTCAGGGCGGATGCAGAGGACCAAGCGCTGCAGGTGCCAGCCAGCGTCCCTGAAAGCCCACAGACACTGTCTCCCGCATTATGCTCTCTCGGAAGTCACCTCCTGCAGTCACTGAGTGGCCCTGACCTTGGCTGGAGTCTGAGCAGTGGGAAAGCTATTGGCTCAACACAGGCACGCTGACACCTGTGGCACACCAGGCACTGGCCACGTTCCGAGGGAGGGAGACAGCAGAGCGGGAGGTGTGTGCGCGGGCGTGCGTGTCCACGTGTGTCTCGGTAAAGCTGTGCTGGGCTAATAACAAAGCAGCCTCGGGCCTCAGCGGCTTAATGTATGAGCCGCCTTCGCCCCTCCTCTTACCCTCCCTGCTCTTCTGTCTCCTTCTCCTCCTTCTTCCCCTTCTCTTTCTCTTCCTCCCGCTCCTTCTTCCTCATCTCCTCCTTCTTCTGCGCTCTCTCTCTCTCTCTCTCTCTCTCTCTCTCTCTCTCTCTCACACACACACACACACACACACACACACACACGACGCAGCACTATAGTAGAAAACAGCCCTTATTTCCAAAGAATTCAAGATCTGCACTCTAGTTTTTCCTTTTGGGATAAATTCTCAGAGGAAAGGCATTGGATCAAGAGTTCTCCTTTTTCTCTTCATTTCTCCTTTTAAAGTTAGACAAGTAATTGAAATGTGTGTCAGAGACCTTGTGAGTACAGCTGGATGGAGTCTCCTAAACACACGCCTGAAAACAGTTCGGGTTTGAGAAAGGAAACATTTCCCACACCTAAAGTCCTCACTTGTGCTCTTCTGAAGTAATACGATAGGCTATTTTAAAAAAATATTTTGCCTTTGTAAGTAAAACCAAATTTTTCACAAAAGAGGAACATAATGAGATACTCACAAGAATAGCTTCTTCTACCCAACACTGTGAGTCATTTGTGTTGTGCTAGAAAAGGTTCGTTTTCTTTGCTGTATAATATTCTGCAACTTCAGTACACCCTGAGGCAAGCGTCCATAGTGTTATTTATAGCCAATTGCATTATTTCTTCATTTTGACTGTTACGCATAGTTCTGGTATGACAAAACTATGCATGCCTTTTTGTGACCATAGATATATATATGCCTTGCTGCTGAGCATAATTAGCTATAGAATTTCTAGGTTAGAGATGTGTATGTTTAGCTTTAGGTGAAGTTGCCAGTTTCCTAAAGGGGTTTTATGAGTTCATATTGCCCCTGGGATGCTGTGGGAATTTCAGCTATCACATGGCCTTCTCAACATCTAGCATTGATGATATTTTCATTTTAGCCATTCAGGTAGGAATCGCATTATGATTTTAATTTGCATTTATCCGATGTGCATTGAAGCTGTCAACCTCTCCATGGGCTTACTTGTCACGCGGAACTCTGGTTAAGTGACCATTCGTTATTTTACATTTATCTGTTCACTTGTCTTTTCCTTCTTGATTCATAAGGGTATTTCCTGGTATATACGTTCTTCAAGACAGCTTCCTTCTACATAGAGACTCTGAATCTCATGGCCGCTCTGATGGAAAACCCTGGTCTTGAGGTCCCTGGGGAAGGGACAGGAAGTGGGAAGATCATGCAATGTCACTTCTTGCGGTGACTCCAATGCTCCTCTGGTGTCCAGTGGCCAGGAGTGGGCGGATGTCCCTGCCTCAGTGGAGGAGGTGTGGCTGGCAGTCAGCAGTAGGTCAGAGAACACAGGGAAAGGGGCAGGTTTTGCAGGGAAAGGGATGACCTGGTGTGGATCACAGACAGGAACTGCAGGAAGTGCTGAATGGCACCAGGACAGATGGAGAGGAGGTGGCTCTCCAAGGGTGGACGCCCGGCAGTCCCGGGCAGCAGAAGGAGGCGGTGGAGATGTGTCTCACACTGCATCTCGAGAGCCATGTGGGGAGTTCTGGTATTAGCCAGCATGGACCCTACGAGATCCACAGTCCCATTTCTATAAAAGCGCAAAATGAACAAAAGAGAAAAGAGATTTTGAGACTTTTTCTTGACGTGCAAAAGGCCCAGTGTTGTGTAACAAATGCACTGTACCCCAAAATGGGCCCCAAACGACTGTTCACTGTGGTTTTGCTGCCGTATCAGAACGTGGCACTAAAGCCACACTTGGGTGAGTCCAGATACGCGTAGTCCTTTCTTAAAATCAGCACGCACTGCAGTGCAGTGAGAGCACGTTGGCAGATGTCAGCTATTTCTAGCAGGCTGTAAACTCCTTAGGGGCAAGGACCAAACCCTATTATTTTGAAAATCTCCTCATTAGTCAAGCACTACAGGGTGAAAGAAGTAGGTATCCAAGAAAATGTCACTGAATGGACTTTTCTCATTTTAATTTATATTTCTTAAAAAATAATTAGGTACATCTTTTCTTTTAGGGGGTGTTGATTCCTTCAAAAAGTGGCTTCCAGATCAAGAGGATGGATGAGCACGTATGTTTCCCTCTTTCTGTTAAGATCCGTTTACAAAGAGAGCAGGAAAATGGAAATGCATTAGCTTTTCACCCTGAAGAGAATCGGAGGAGAACTGTCGGAGAGTGACAGGTTTCTGTGGGTTTCTGGAGTCGAAAGCAGGTGTTGCAAGGGTGACGGACAAGCGGGGGCAGGGAGCCCATGAGGGAAATGTGGCCAGAGGACCCTCAGCTCCACACCTGGCCTGTGTGTGGCAGAATCCTGTGGGGACTCAGAACTCAGGCTCCTGGGAGGGTGGGAGCCAGCTGGAGGGGGTGGATCAAGAGTGGAGCCTGACAAACTCCTCCCTGCCCTGTGAGCCCCGAGTAGTCAATAGGCAGATGTTTACCCCTCAGGCAAGAGAGCAAAGGCTGCTCACTAAGACAGCCCAGGTCAGAGGAGCAGCAGGGTAGCAGTGAGCCAAGCCCACAACTCCCCCCTCCCAGGCCGGCCGACAGCTCCTGTCCCTCCTCCTCAGGCTGCAGAGGAGCCTCCGGAGGAAGGACCAGACACACAGCTCAGAGCATTGCAGTTGCTGCATTTTAAAATACCAGTGGATGACAGGGTCTCGAACATTTGAGGAGGGGCTGCAAAGTACAGGAGAGAAACCAATAAACAAGCAGAAGAAAATGGCCCCAGAGGAAATAAATAATTCAGGGAATACAATGTATTTAAAAAATCCTCACTGGTGTCCCCAGAGAGAATTGAGAAACTATAAAGTCCATAGTACATGGACAGAATGTTATTTGGAAAAAGATTATCAGAGAGTAAGAAAGATATCTTGGAAAGAAAATAATATTTTCAAACTAAAAAAATTCAATACATTCTATTTAACAATGGAAGCCAAGGAAATTTCTTATCAAGTGGATCAAAAACAATAAAACAGAGAATATGTGCAAGGTCATACGAGAAAACACGTACCCATTTAAAAGGCCAACATACAATTAATAGAATTTCCAGAGAGACCAAACCAGACACAAGGGATGCCAGTTCTGGAGGAATGTTAGAAGATCCATTCCAGGGTTCAGCAAGGCATTTGTCCTTGAATTGAAATGGTCCTCTGATTGTGCCATAATGCATAAGAAAGACCACACTGAGACACATTGTTACGGAGATGCTGAAAACATCTAGAGTAAGACTTGTTTACCTATGAAAGGCAAAAACCAGACTGGCTGAAGAATTCTTACCAGCAACCTTTACTATTACCAGACAAGGAGAGATTTCTTCTACATTCTGAGGCAAGTGATTTACAGTCTGGAATTGAATATGCAACAAAATTATCCACCAGAGAGGAAGACAGATTATGCAAAAGCCAAGAAGTTTTATTTCCCAGGCAACCTTTGTGACAAAACTATTTGAGGATGTGCTCCAGCAAAACAAAAGAATTTCCCAAAAGAGGAACTTAACGTACATTTAGAGTAGATGGTATCTAGGTTGATAGATCTGAAACAGAAGTAGAGGGAGTTACTCTATAGTAAAAGGACTCAAAGATTGGAAAAGGGTACACAAATCAATTTCATGTGTGTGAAACTGTTCTTGAAACTTAGCTTATGATAAGGACTCAATAAAGGTAGCTATTTCTTCTCTTTTCTTTTTTTTCTATTAAATTTATTGGTACATTTTATTCAGTTACATTCATCATTGGGATCTTGTATGTTTACATGATGTATCTTGGTTCTTATTTTTTCCCCTTCCCCTGCCCTCCCTTCACCCACTCCACCCTTCCCTATTTGCAAAGACTTTGTTTCCATTTTTTTTTCTTTTCTCCTATTTTTTCTTTTCCCTTCTTTCCTTTCCCCTATCCCTCCCACTTCCCCTACTCCTTTAGATCTTTTCTTCTAAAGGTAGCTATTTCAAGAAAGATACATAAATAGATAAGTAAATACTGTGGGAAAAACAAAATTGATGCAAAAGAAAAGTAACTATTGCATTATTTTACTTGTCATTGATTTCTATCTTTTAGATAAACCTTGAGACTAAGCAAAGTTTCAGAACAAAATACACATTTTGGACGCCCTGGCAATGAAAAAGCAAAAGTCTATAGAAAACACTAAGAGGAAGAAGATGGAAGGATTGCTGAAGAGATGGCAGGGCATTCACGTGCTCACTTTAAGAAGGCAGTCAGGGGATATTTCCCATAGTTGATCAGATAAGAGATTATAAAAATGGTAAAAACAACTATACAGGATGAAAATCCATGGTATAAATATATTAGGAGGAGAGAGAAAAAGGAATTTAAAATTCTCTGGTGAACTTAGTTGTCTCTCACTGCAGGAGGCCAGTAGGTAATGCCTTTCATTTTTAAACTCCTTTAGTTTTATTTTTGGATAATGTCTAACTTTGAAAACTAAAAACATAACCAATTAAGGTGTTACGATAACTATTTTGCGCCAAAAATTAATCTTTCTGTCGGCAGGTGTCAAGCTAGGGAAGAGTTTGGTAGATATGCTTGCGTTTTACTACAGACTATTGATATTACTTGAACTTTTAAGTATGTGCGTGTATGTTAATCAGAAAAATAAAATACATTAAGAAAACCTTAAAAATTCCTCCCCGAAGTAGTTCTCCTTTGATTTTAATTATGCGTTCATGTTTTCCCAGTCTGGAACTTTTAGCTGAAATCAAAGCCTTTTTATTTTGAACATTGAATAGGACACCTCTCCAGGGACACTAGAATCCCAGCCTAGAATAAATCCTGTTTGTTGGAAATGTTGTGTATATTTCTCAACTTTAAACACACACATAAAAGTCACTGAAAGTCAGAACTTAGTATAGAGTACCATCAGCTGCTTATGCACTTTTTCGTGGGAATGTTGTTCTACAATAACATCAATATCTACAATTCTTTAAGATATTCTGCAATTCATTAATCCATTTTTTGCAGTGCTGGGCATGAAACCTGAGCTTCACACATGCTAGGCATAATCCTTTCTTTAGTGTCTAGTATTTATTTAGTTTTTCTATCTGAGGGATGAGTTAAGTTATATTGCTACAATTTAATGGTGGCTACAGGCCCCAAATTCTGCTTTGATGTAAAATACCCAGATGACAAAAGGAGGGGAAGATATTCCAGCACAGTGCCTCCCTCCGGTGCCAGACGCTTTTTCAAAGAGCAACTTCCGTTTGTCCTTCCTGCCCCATGGACTCTAAGTGCCTGTTCCCTTGCTGCCCTTCGTTCTGGGATGAGAAATTGGGGCCAGAGAAGGGGGTCATCAGCCACAATCCCGAGGTTCACTCGCCAGGACTCCTGCAGTCAGGGTTTCCTTGGCATGAGATGCCCCTAAACCTCCTCTGTGCCCCCAGGTAGTCTGTGCCCCCTTCCCCCTAGAAGCGGAACACACCAGCTTTAGGTGAGGAGTCGCAACTTCCGTCACTGGGATGCTGCCCATCCTTTATATCCAGTGGACAACAGGTGTCGGGTGCAGCCCACTGACACCCTGAGGATACTGCTGGAGGCTAGAGGTTTCCATGGCAACTGCAACTATGCTCCAGCCCTTCTGCAAGCTGTCACCCAAGAACCACAGGAGGAGGAGGAGGAGGAGCATGTGTGTGGCTATAGGAGGAGACCCTTTTTTGTCCATCACTGGAAGAGCCAGGTGCCTGCAAGCTGTCCAGGTGGGAAGCCTGAAGCCTGTCTTCCTCATCATGCCATGCCGGTCGGTCGGTCCTCTCCTCCTTTTCCACTCCCACCTTGCATTCAGGGTCTGCTCACTCCTGCTTCCCTGCCTCAGGGCCTGCATCTCCACAGCCTGCTTAGGTATTGGCGGTGCTGACTGGAAATACATTCGTGAGAGAATGTGGGGTGGAGGCCCTTCGGGGCCACTTCTGCATCAGCAGATCTGCACAGAAAACGTGCATGGCAGGCTGGGCCAGGGGATTTCCTTGAGAGTTCAGGTCCAGCTATGATGGCAAGGGCTGCATTGATAATACTAACTGTTATTATTAACTGAGTGTTTTTGCAGTGCCAGGGATTGAATCCAGAGCCTCTCATGTGCTAGGCAAGTGCTCTGCCCCCAGGATCCACCGGAGGTCCCGAGTCGAGAACTTTCAGACTGCATCCAGGCTGAGCAGGAGGACCCCGGGTCACCAGGCAGTGCGATGCCTGCCTTAGGTGCAGGAGAGAAGCCAGGGGTGGTGAGCCAGCTACTGCAACTTCCTTCAAGCCAGCTGTGAAATATCCGACACTGCAACAGCTGGCGGTAGAGACAAAAGTACACCAGTCGCGCTGCTCTGTGACGTGGCACGTGAACCCTTGTTGTCTGAAAGCAGTCTAAGCTTTGCTCTTCCTCACGGACTGTTCTCACATCAAGTCCGGGAGAGACTGGCCCATCTGTGAGGGGGGAGAGAGCTCCGTCCACGGGCATCTTGAGTTTTCCCGGCACCCTGATGATGCCCTCAGTGTTGCCTTAAAACAGCACGTCCAGCTGGGTTTCCAGGCACAGTACGGAATCCCAGCACTCCGGAAGGCTGAGGCAAGCGGGTCACACACAAGTCTGAGCCCAGCCTCAGCAATATAGTGAGTGCCTATCTCAAAATAAAGCCTTAAAGGGGTGGGGTTCTGTGCCTAGTATTCAGAACAAAAAGAGAGTGTGTTCCAGGACACGGATGCTTGGAGAGATAGTATCTCCTCTCACTTGAGCAATGTGGAGTAAGAGACTAGGCCTGGCCACTCCCTCCAATTCTTGGTCCCCTTCTTGTTTACAAAAGATCCATCTCCCTGATTCCTACGAATTGTCTTTTATTTTGCTCTTTAAATTATTTATACTTTGGGTTTCTCATATAAGAGAAACCGTGGGGGGCAGTGATGCAGCTCAGTGATGCAGTGCCTGCCTGGCAGGCACAAGGCCCTGGGTTTGAATTCTGGTACCAAAAAAAAAAAAGAAAAGAATAGAAAAAGAAACCATGTGACATTCAAGCTTATGTGCCTGATTTATTTCACTTACCATTATGGTCTCAAGGTGCATCCATTTTCTTACAAATGACTCAGTTTCTTTCTTGATGGCAGAGTAGTAATCCACTGTATGCAAATACCACATTTTCTTTATTCATCTGGGTTTTTTTGGTACTGGGGATCGAACTGGGGTTCTTGCGCTTGCCCAGCAGGCAGTGAAACCACTGAGCTAAATCCCCAGCCTTCTATTCATCTGTTGATGGACATACAGCCTGCTTCCAAGATTTAGCTATTATGAGTTGTGCTGCTATAAACTTGGGCATGTGTGAGTCACTGTAGTATGATGATTTTGACTCTTTGGGGAAGATACCTAGAAGGGGAACAGCCGCGTCAAATGGAATTTCCATTTTTAGCATTTTTGAGGAAGCTCCACGCTGATTTTCATAGTAACTGTACAAGTTCACATTCTCACAAATGAAAATATTGATTACATGATTTAGCTAGCAATTATTCAGCACGATACTAATGATGAATCCATCCATCCGTTCACCCATTTATTCAGCAAAACCCACACACCTACATTGCTCCGGGTAACAGGGTGGGTTTAGAAAGCTGAGTCAAGCATGCTGACTGTGTGTGCTGTTTCCTGGTAACATGCAGCACAAGGCTGGTCAAAAGACAGTGCCTGTGAAAGATCAACAAAAATTTTTTGAGTTGATAGCCGTATAGTCAGTAGATGCCACGGGGCTTCACCTGTGTATGGGTGGAGGGCCTCAGTCTTGCGTTCTCAGTCATGCTTCTATGGTGGTCATCCATCTTCGGCTTGGTTGCTTCCCATGATGGGGAACTTGTTATCCCCCAAGGCAGCACATCCCACTGTGGAATTCTAATTAATTGCCGAGTTCCCCACCTGGATTTGAGTAGGTACTTGGTCAATGAAAACATGCTGTATTGGTTAGGGCTTTCTAGAGGAACCGATTCAATATGAAATATATGTATGATTCTACAAGGTAGGCTTATGGGATGGAGTCAGAAGAGGCCCAACAGCCGTCAGCCATATCAGAGATGGAAGAATCCAACATGGCCGTCTGTGTGCTGCCGAGCAGGAGGATCCAGTATCCTCCAAAGGCCAGCAAGCTCACTGCAGAGTCACTGGTGAGAGTCTGTATTGGAAGGCTGAACAGTCTGCACTGGAAGCCTGTGGGAACTGAAGACCAACACCCAAAGGCAATGGCAAAGAGACTGGAACTCCTCTGAAGAAAAGGGAAGCACTTCCCTTTCTTTCCCTCTTCATTCTGTCCAAGCTCCAAGCCTATTGACTGGTGCCACCCACATCCGGGGTGGGTCTTCCCACTCAGTTTGCTGGCCCGAGTGTCAGTCATCCACAGACACACCCAGTGTTTCCTATTCTGCTAACCAGCTCTTAGTAAGTGAAGCTGATGACCTCAGTTAAGGATCACAAGTGTAAAGTTTGTTCTGCAGAGCAGAAAGGGCACAGAATGGGGAACTTGGGAGTCGGAGAGATGGAGCCTTTCATTATTTTCTGCAGCGCCTGCTCAGGGACTGCCCTCCAGTCTCCCAGGTCTCTGTCTCCATGTCCACATTGGACAGCCCCCTGCCAGCCTGGTTGGGCCAGGAACCCGGCTCTGTGCCAGTGGCCAGGCTGGGCTGGGCTGGAGTGGACACCTCTGGGTTCCTCCTGTGCCTGAGGCCGAGAGCTTACTTGCCTTGCTTCTGGCCTGGAGGCTCCGCGTCGCGAGGCTGAGCTCAGGCATGGAGCCCTGCTCTCCTGCCAGCTGGAGGACAGGGTCATTGTGCAGTGCTGCATTTGGGATCCGAGAGGGCTCTTAAGAACATTTTATTTATTTCAATAGCGCATTTTAATTTACCTTGGAACAACCAAAAATAAAACACCCCAGCTAACTGAAAATAAGGAATAAGATTACCTTGCAAATAACATTTCTCTATCACAGTAACTTCAGGCTTTGACTAATCTTGTTAATTCAATTCAACTACTGTATGCTCTTGGGCTAGCGGAGCTGAGGTAATCCAAGGAGACAGTGGAGCAAATTGGGTGTTGGGTGGCAGGTGGCCCAGCCCCACTCAGGGTCCCGCTGCCCTGCCTGTCTCCAAGGGCACATGGGTCATAGACCCTCCAGCTGTGGCCATGAGTACACTTCACGATCTGCTAACTTGAAATGTATTCAACTGTGCCTATGAACCCTTAGCATGACATGTCATTGTGCCTTACCTTTCATGTAAATGTTTCAAATGAAAAGTACAAGATGAAAATATTGATTGCTAAGACTGGGAATACTGAAAATCAAGGGAGCGTCTGCCAGGGGTGAGCATAGACGAAGCCAATTCAATCACCCAGCTGGGCTAATCTCTGTGAGGCTCAGTTGCAGCTTCCAGTCAGGGATCTGCAGGTCTCTCAGGTCTTCCACGGAAGACTCAAATGTCAAGGATACATGGTCTGGCTTTCGAAGTGTCCTATGGCCTGACAATTGAAATGCAGGACTCTGTATTAGAAATCTCAAAACATACCACACATCTCACGGATATCCTTTCTGGTTACTTTAACTACTTTTACTA